GATTTAAAATCTAAATTTAGTTTTAAATCTCTTTTAAACACAGTAGTTCCAAGCGTGCCTATTTTGCAGAGTGATTCCTGCCCATAAGGAAGAAGAAAAAGCAAAGAAAAAATTAAGAAATGTGAAATAAATTTTCCCTTTATACCAATGTCTCAAGCACATCATTTTTGGAGAGGTGGTTGGTCTTTCAAAAAGCGAACAATGCTTTTTTTACAATACATTTTGATAGTTGGGGACAGAACCAAATACTTGTTCTACAGCACATTTAAATAGTCAGGGACAGAGTCCAATGCTTATTCTACAGCATATTTAAATACGAGGGTTGATCCAACAGTTATGTCACAACTTCGATAAAATCGCTACCCGTCGACGAAAAGCAACAAAATTATTAATGATGAAATCTACATTTATTTCAAATCAGACCTGAAAATTTCAGTTCAACATTATTTATACTTTTCAAAATATCGGATTTTATACGACGTGCGATTATGGTAGTCGCAACACCTAAGTAACGTCATTCGACGGATACTTGCCGTCATACATTTAGACACTTCCCTTCGTTTCATTCAAAACATATTTGAGGTCCACGAACACGTTCACAAATATTTCACTTTCTTAAAGAAAATTTGGCACCCATCGTACACTCACTCTTTCCATTATTAATTCTTCTGTCAAATTTTTTTGAACAGTAGCATAAGACCAACTTAATTTCACATATCGCTCTAAAAGTCTTTTTTGACAACGTCACACACCACAGAACGTTTCCATCCGTCCTCCTATCTTTCGGTCTTCTTGTCATCTGCTGAGCATTCAATGACCCATCACCCACCCGAAATCGCTGAAACCATCTAAACAAGTCTCTTATTTATATATTTTTTCATCTGTGAGTCTGGTGAATCAACTTAATTGTCTCTACTGGCGATTTCTCCATTTTGAAGCAAAATGCATTAGTTTGTTTTGGCTTTTTTATCCATTTCAACATTTCCTTTTCTCAATGCACTGGAGTAAAACAATGATGTTTTTGATAATGTTTACAATTTAAAAAAAAAACAAACAAACAATTAAGTCATCATTTTCAACTTAAGACCAGAAAATGATGTAAAGTTTTGTATTTTAAAATATATTTTGACTAGTCGCTTTTAAAAGATGCTTTTTAATGTGTTTGTCTTTTTTTTATTCTAAACAAAAGTACACTTTAATTTGTGACGTTCTACTGTGACACGGCGACATCCCCTATGTTCTATGTTTTAAACACCTATAAAATAAATTCAGTTATACATTATTGAATGGAAATTTCAAGATTAATTAGATTTATATTTGTGCATCTTTCGGTATATAATATTTGATAATATGGCGCCAAATGTAAAAGATATGAACACTGTGACATTACTTTTGGATCAACCCTCATAGCTAGGAAGAGAACACAATGTTAATTCTTCAGCACATTGAAATAGTTAGGGAAAATACCGAATGCTTCTTCTCCAGCATATTTAAATAGTTAATTAGGGACATAATTTAATTCTAATTCTACAGCACACTGAAATAGTTAGAGACAGAACTTAATGCTTATTCTATATCACATTGTAATAATTAAGGACAGAGTCCAATGTTTTTTTTTTCGTACATCACATTGAAATGATTAAAGAGAGTCGAATGTTTTTTCTACAGCATATTTAAATTGTTAGGGACAGAACCCAATGCTTAATCTACATCTCATTGAAAGAGTCAGGGACAGAGTCCAATTTTTTTCTTCTGCACTTTTAAGTAGTTAGGGACAGAATCCAATACTTATTCTACATCACAATGAAATAGTTAAGGGCAGCGTCCAATGTTTTTTTTTCTACAGCACATTTAAATACCGAGTAGTTTGGGACAGAGACACATAGCACATTAAAAATACCTCTTCAAAATATTAAGTACTGATCGGTGGTTTCACATTTTGTAAACTCTTTTCCCCCTTTTCCCCTTTTCTTCAAAACACTTCAAAATCTCATGTTGTCGAAAGGATGTAGGAATATATAAATTAAACAACGATCCACATTAATTATCAATAGTCTGGTTATAAGTAGATAAACAGATAAAAACCGGAGTGGTATCAACTATTAAAAGTAATGTCACGTCGGTAAAATTGGTATTACATTAGTTAACCCTTGTAAATTCACGCTTCAACGACGTCACAAGTGAAGCGGTTGTCATCTCCGCACAGCCAATCAAAATCAAGGAAATATTGTCTGCCATTACCTCATGCATCATGTCGGACACAGACGTTATGCAAGTTTTAGCATATTTTGAAACAATGGTGATGACATGTGCATGGGGAATATGCAACAGCTATACCAGGTATCCCGACAGGATACAAGGGGTAAGTTTTATTCCCTTTCCAAAGCTTAGAACTCAAAAAGACAAGTGCACGAGATGAATAAAGGCCTGCGGGAGATCACATTACTAGCTGAATGAAAGCACTATAAATTGACATACGTTTATCTGCACAGTAATTCTGTTCAATGTAACATTTCCTCGTAATCATAAGTAAAGTGAAGAATCATTATTTATTACATTTTTACCCGTGAAATACTGTAATTTATCCATTGAATAAAAATGATATCCTGTAACAGTGTGAAAAGATATCAAAATAATATCCTGTCACAGCTTGACGAATATCAGAAGTGCAGGAAAATTCTCGATTTCCCTTCCCATAACGAAGATTGTTGTAAGAAAATCTACCTTGACCTAATATAAGATAGATGGAAAGAAATAAACCTTTCTGAAAGCGAATAAAACTGTCAAAATTACGAAAAATATGTTTCTAACTCCATGTTTACAGTGTTTTCACCTCACTAGCTATGACGTCTCCACCGCTCAACTATGGCGTCATGTAGCATATGACAGTATTACAAAAAGACAGAGGCAAAGGAAAATTCAAAGATGTTTTTTAAAAAAGAGCAATAAACAGAAGAATCAATGTTTTGTAGTTGAATATGGAATTTATTTCACTCGTGAGACACGATTTTTTGATATTTTCACTCGTGCTCAGCACTTGTGAAAATATCAAAAATCCTGTCCCACTCGTGAAATAAATTCCATATTCCACTACAAAACATTGAATATCCTCTATGAATATGTAGAAATGCTTGTAGTCATATATTAAAAGGATATGACATTTATCTGGGGCCCTGCATGATGTTGTGTTTATATTTTGATTCGTTCATGAAAACTACCATAGCTATATCTTGTACATGTACATGCATATGATATGTTTTGTGTTCTTACATTATTCCTTAGTTCACGCGAACTAACTTCAAAAAGTGAGTGGTGACCAAAAAATTAAAGTAAAGGGTCATATTGTGCAGAATGTCACTGTAGGTACATATCTATTTGATGAATGAAATAGTTTAATGTTTATTGAAATTTCAAATCACAATCATGTTTTTAAGTTGTGATGTACTGATTAATCCAATTACCTTTTAATTGAAATCGTACCCAATTATCAAATCAGTCATTATTAATAATGAAGGATATGTAGATAACGAACAGTATTAAATATCAAAGTCCATAAAACAATACAAAATAGGAGCAGTGAAGTATTTAATGCATAAGTTGATCATATGTACATGATATTAGGTTAAGTACCAATATGGCCTCATCGTGATGATGTCATTAGTAATATGCCCTTACAGTTCAGATCTGCATTTCCAAGAACCAATGCCATAGTTGACTTCACGGAATTGAAAGTATTAAAGTTACAATCACATATGTATTCTGATTATAAATCGGGAACAACTTTAAAAGGACTGAGATCTTGTGATCCAATGGGTAACATTGTGTTTGTCAGTGAGCTATTTACAGGGTCCATGTCAGATGTGGTTATCACTCAGAAAAATGGATTTTATGTACTCCTATGTCATTTTTTGGAGGCAGGCCACATTTTGCAAGGTGAATGTATCATGGTGGAATAAGGATTCACATTTGAATTATTTTGAATTTTTGGGGGTTTCACCTAAACTTGCCATCATCTGCAAGTAGTGAAACACAGATGCCTCAATCCGATGTTGACTTGACACAGAAAATTGCAGGTCATCGCATATATATATAACGAGCTACTTGAAAAATAAGAACATTTAAGATCGTATCACATTATATTCCAACCAGCATATGTGGCTCAATCAACAAAGTATAGACTGTGCGTGCTTTATCATCCTTTGACAAGATCCAGTATTTAAAAAGAAGTAAAAATAAATTATTAGGCTTACTTATAAATTATATAAATATTCATTTCTGAGTCTTTTAATGTCATGATTAAATTTTATAGATGATAAGTAGTCTCTTACTGTTTAAACATATGAAGGTATTAGATTTATTATGAAAATGAAATACATGGAAATGAGAAAAAAATCTTGATAAATTCTTCCTGCAAATAAACATGACAAAGGTCGATATCTGAATCATCATGTAGGCTGAAGAAGGAGAACATGCAATTAGGCTCAAAGTGAATAAAACACCTGGTTAACGTTAGAACACTCAATGCAAGTGCCAGTTGAAGCTGTTTACTGGACTAAAGAAAAACAAAAAATAAACTAAGTAATAATTAAAATATCAATTTATTAACCAATAATAACGACTAAACGCATTCTAAACCAACTTATGTTTTACCCGGCTGTACAGAAACAAAAAGGCATCTGTAACTACCGACTCCGTTAAACGACGCGGTGGCCCTTCCTCATGCTCCGATAGCATCTTACAGTAATAATTACTGTGCTAACTTTTTTTGACACAGATATATTGTGAATTTATCCTTGTTTATAATAAATTAAAGCTTTTGATTGACTCCTCTAAGAGTAAAATCATCCGGCACAAAGTTGTAATTCACCTGTGATGGTGTTTACATTGTTTGTCGGAGGTGCGGGTCAGGTGATATTCGTTGCCATCGGTGGGCGGAGCGTGGAAGCGTGAATGAGGTTAATTTGCATATTCCTTGGTACTTATATGATGTTCATTTCAGTTCTTGCCTTCAGATACAAGATGAAGAGGTCCCTATTAAGGAAGTTTCTACTTGTTGGTGGTATTATCTTACACTGGCAAAACACTTTGGCTCAGACTGAGCCTTCAGTCGGCGTTTGCGATGATGACTCAGATTGTATAGAAAATGCAAATTGCGATGTCGATCGAAACCAGTGTTTCTGTGACGAAACTTCTGCAGCTGTTGTTGTTCTTTCAACTGGTAGCCTTCCGTTTTGCAAAGGTAAGCATGTCATTAAATTTTAAGAAGTGAATTTTGATTTTAGGTGGAAAGCGAACGGTAAACGCTTGATGAACAAACAGTGAATGCTCGATAAACTAATAGTGAGCGAACGGAAAATGGGAAAGTAGTAAGAACTTTGAATTAATTATGATTTGTGATTAAATTTTGTTTCCTACATCCTTTTCACGACAGGAGATTTGTAGAATCTTCCTCTGAAGGGAGGGGGTTAAGATGAAAAACCACTTAACCAATGCAAACCACTGTATCACTGTATAATTTTATGTGCGATTGTTAAATAATTTGGCTATTTCACAATATGAATGATACTTTAAAAGAGATATCATGGAGATATCATGGAATTATCATGGAGTGACAAAAAATAATGTAAATATAAAAAATGAGAACTCATGAACTACGACACTTCACGCCTGCATATTTATCATGACGTGCTGCTGACAAAGTCCATGTTGTTCATTATTTTGCGTTCATCTTTCTTGGCCGTGCGTTCGCGTACACCATTCACAAAGCGTTCAACGTTTTAATTCAAAGGACTTATTTTTTTGTAAGTAAGAATTTTCAGGTATTTTAATTTAATAACTAACATATATCGTGTTTGAAGAATCATTATTTCATGGGGAAATACGATCTACGATTACATAATTATTTTTAAATATTTTAACTTAGATTTTAGGTTATTCATTAGATTTCTCTGGAAAATGAATGTTTATACAAGCACATTATGTACCTATGTAGAAAGATGCTGAAATATTAAATATAAAAAAAGGCAAAGTAAAAATGCTTCAAGCACCGCAACATTTTGTTGTTTTGTTAAAGACGACAAATCGTTAATGGAGATATATTTATCATAGTCAAAATTATGAAAATATATATTTTTAACACGTTCCTTTTTCAGTTCTTACAGGAAATACTTAGTAAGGTAGAACTTGTTCTGAGAGTTATACATAGTAGTACTGCAAATATCCTATTTATTTATTATCTTTGGAGAAGGATATGGAGATAACGAACAGTATTAAATCTCAAAGTCCGTAAAACAATACAAAAAAAAACCCAGAGCAAACACAGACCTCCGAAACATCAGAGAAAGGATCAGGTGCCATGGAGGAGTAAACATCCCCTTGACGCGAATTTAATCGATAGTGTGGTTAAAGGAAATATGTATTTACTGTAACTTTATATGCTTGCCATTCGATGTGATTAATAACCCCTTTCCCGCCTAAATCAGTTACTTATTCAGTACTGGTTTTCCACAATATTTTAGATAACATTTAAAAAAAAAATCGTTTTCTTTATAGGAACAAACATTTTAGTCTCAAAACAAACATGCATCTAAAAAAGTCACAAAACAATAGTAGTTCAAAATGTACATGAGTCGGCGGTGTTATTTGAAATTGGCAGAGAATATGTTTCAAATTCAAATGTTAATGCCAAATGTATTTTATTCATTTGTTATTCAAATGTTGGAATCAAATCTAGAAAAGATGAAAATAAATGTTATAATTTGTTGGAATCACTCGCACTTCATTTTTGATGTGACGAAACTTTTTCATCTACACAGTATTGAATGATTTTGATTGACAAGCACGTGAACTTGATGCAGAAAAACAGTATCTTGTGGATTTATTTTTATTAAACCTAATTCATACGGTTGTCAAATAAGTTTAAAATCACACGACAAACACTGCTGGGGTAACAAAGCGGACACAATGGCGTTATCATTTTTCAATATAATTTCTGAAAACAGATAACTACACTTCCTTTGTCTTTATTTCCCATTAAAGTATTCCATATACTTAATTTTCTCATTTGTGCACTATTCACAAAATGTGAAACTTTAAGGAAATAAAACGACTAACTCCGTGTTATGTATTTTTACTGAAAAATGTATGCCGTCCCTTTCACGTAAAATAGAAATTATTCCTAACAGTTGGCGAGTACAGTATAAGCGAGTCATAATTGTATATCTCTGCCATAATAGAATTATTATACCAACGTTATTATAAAGAAGAAAATAAAATAAGATTAAATAAATACCCACGGGAAACCGGTTAAAAATAGCTAATTGAAGGTGAGTATCTTTTTTATGTCAATTTAGCATGGAAAATTTTATTCAAAGACACCGTAATTTTTTTGGGTTGCATTTTAATCGATACAAGATATGCTATTTTTTCTTTATTTTATGCATTTGTGTGAAAATTGAAAGCGAAAAGTCACATGAACAGGATTTTCTTGTTTTATTATGAATAAAAGTCAAATGTGTACATCTTTTCATGAGCTTATAATACATTAAATTTCTCAATATAGATCGAGGTACAGGCATATTGAAATATAAAATTACGTAGTCAAAACTCTTTCACATTTCTTGTAGTTTTTACGTTTATGAATATGTTAATGAACAAACTGAAATAATGGAGTGTTCAATTGCCTTGGAAACTCTTGTCTTACTTTTTGGGAATATAATTCCTCATCGGACATTAAAATTTCATAAAAATTGTAGCCACTTCCTTTCTTTATTATACTATTTGATAGACAGGGTAAATTTTATCTCTTTACCTTCTATATTATTCTTATATCGCTATCTTATACCTCATTATAATATGCGAATACAAAGACTATCTGATTGGTTCTAACAATATGTCACAGTTTTCTTTTAGTTATTTTATCTATGATACTTATTACTCATGGCAATAACTTTTCCTAATATTCATCTATAATGAAAAAATGTGTTAAAAATAAATATGAATTCTAGTTACTTGTAGTCTCATATTGTGTTAGAAAATAACAGGTTGCTTTTTGTTTACCTATATACTTTTTATTTGATTAATAAATCTTCCCTACAATTGAAAATATATAACCGAGTTTAACCGACCGTGACATTCAAAGAGAGGTCTCTTGGACACATGTAGAACACGGTCGAGGTCGTTTTGTCAGAGGTGGTCAAGAAGCTTTAAGCCCCCTCCCCCCTTTTGAAGTCGCCAAGAAATGGTAAAATATTGATGACTTAGCGAAATTAAACGATCAACAGTTATGTTCTCTCATAAGCTGTATTCCTGAAACTATTACTGTCTCTGCTAAAATGTTGAAGACATATTCTGCAGATATGTATGAATGATAAAAAAAAAAGATTTTCAAAAAAAAAAGAACAGAAAGAGGTTTTTTTAACCGAAATTTTATACATTTTTATCATTACATTATTTATACATTCATAAATAAATTTGATTTTATGCACAAGATGAATGTGAAAGTAATTAATGACGCATAATTAGATACGATAGACAATCCCTTGTTTATACATGGCATCATATCTTGTGTGTGAAATGTGTTTCCGTATAATTTGATTAATTTACAGATTGTTCATGTTTGTCGTGTTGATGTGGAATTATTATAAATTCCCGAATTCTGATACTTTACCATTCTGTTGTGTTGGGAATGAATATTAGGTTGATGCATATACTTTCAACATTATGAAAAATATAAAGCAAATCGAACGCCTTTTTGTGTGCAGATCATGAAATGTACTGACCTCCACGGGTATTTGTTGTCCTGAGCGCATTAATCTTGACGCCCAAATTCTTACTTGGCTAGTGATACCCTTACAAAACATGGGTATCTAGATGAAAGTTAACTCGGCAACATGCGCCATCCCATTGTTTAAGTTTTATTAGGTGATTACACCTCCAATATCCGATTTCGCGGATTCACCGATACCCTAATATCGGGTATTATACGCGATTTCACGGATAATACCCGATTTCGAGTATTCTCTCCGACCTGTTCAGGACTTTCTTAAAATCTAGGCACAGGTTGAATGAGAGAACTCGGAGAAAATTATTGGTTTTGTAATTAGTTACTATACAGAAGCTTCTTCCCTCTCCTGATTCCAACCCCATTCATTGAAGTAAGAGAGGACACGAAAAACCGCTAGTTTTTCTTCGAAAATTTTAGTTTTCATACCTTGGACGTCCTATCGATAAGAAGTACTAAAGAGCAATTATAGAAAATTCAAGAAGTCAAGATCAATTTTAAAAAAAATTAATTGCTCACTAATATAACAGCGACTTGGCTTTACTATTGACCGCAGTGTATACAAAGCAACTTTTACTAGGTACATGAAAGTGTTTGACGCGTGACCAGGTAATTTTCAAAACATGCATACTCAGATTTTCAGATACCACATGATAAATCTGGACTGCCAATCAAATTGGGAGCTATTGTTTTTGTTTTTTTTTCAATTATTGAAAGCGGTTATAATTGATCTTGAATCAGGTAGAATTATGAGGCGTTAACATAAAATTAGGTGTTAAATGAAAATTTTAACAGCATGTTATTAATAGACAAGTTCTGAAAATTGAATTTATAACAAATAATATGAAAATGTATCTTTGTTTTATCGTGTCAGAGTATAATCACGGCCATCTAAAGATACATGTAGGAGTTTGCTCATTACATCGTCATGAAAAGTAGAAATGACACATTTAAGGAATGTTTTTAAGTTTTGTGTGAGTTATTGGTGTGTGAATCAGACAGACTTGTCACATAGGTATATTTCATGAAGCGCGCTAGCGCTTCATGAAAAATATGCCTACCTGCCAGTCTGTGTGATTCACACACCAATAATTCTCACTTAAACCTAAAAAAAAAAATTCCTTATATTTACATTTTACATGTACGTGTTTTGAAGCACCAATAATATAATCAATAATTGAATTTCTCGCTGCCTTATATCGTAATACTTTACTAACGTCGATGTAGCCTTATTGTGACGATACGTTAATGTATGTTACTCCGTATATATTTCTGCGCGTGAGTATACAATAAAATGCTTTTCAAATCACTTTCACATTTGGCTTAGTAGAAAAACTGGTTATGTAAATATAATATATTATTTAAAAAATAAACAAAACATAAAATACGAGTGTACATAACTGCAATACGTTCACTGACCTTTTTTAAAATGAAATCCTTGACACGAAAATATATGAATGGGTGTAACAACCGCTTTAATTCGTTATATAAGTCAGAAGTTTTCTCTGATTCGTTTTTTGTTATATCACATAACAGGTCTGGACGATTTCCAAATAAGGAAGTCAATAATGATACTGAAACTTACTATAAATAAACATCGTGTACACGTAATTATTTTACTGTCCAATCAGACAACAGCATTTTTACACACTCCAAAACATATTTTGAAAGAACAAAAAGAAAACACTTGTTTTTTTTCTCAAAAAGATTTTTAAAACAAAAAGATCTTTAGAAGTAAGATGAGCACTTTTGAAGAATAAGGTATTCCTCACATATTGACCGTGAACAACCTGGAAATTTTTATCTCGGTAAAGAAAAGAAATAATGCAATATGCAATTTAATCGTTTACGGAGGAATAAATCACACCAACAAGTTCGTATCAATTTCAATTATAATATTTACCTGAATATACTAAATGTTTGTAAATATTATTTTGCATAGCCAATCAATTTCAATCAATGATGCTTAAATTCCATGTGTATAGGGTATAGTAAGTTCAACCTCACACAAGAGTTTATCGTATGGACTACTAAGAGATTTATAATATCACGGATTTTATGAGCGCCGAATATTAAGCTATGCAAAACTTAAATGGATATAAGGAAAGGCGTAAAACGTGAAGAGAAGAGAATAATTATTCACGAATGCGTTTTATCCCAATATCATAAATCGCATCCCAGAAACTGCATGGACGGTTTCGTTATAATCACTCAAAAAATAATTAAGACTGTTATCCATGCGATAAGATTATTTCTGTCAGGCTCTAAAAACTGAACATTTTCCGTTTTTATATCAATTTTTTTACCGTCTGTTAAACTTTTGGTATTGCTACCTCCTAGTGACAGATTTTAATCCCACTTAAAGCGTTTTTCAGCTTTCAAGTCGTGTTTATTCATGATAGAATTGTCATAAATATTACATTATTTCTAAATGTGCATCAAAAAAAATGTTCCAATAAATCTTTGGATTAATAAACGATAAAACGACGTGTTTTATTAATATTTTCTTATGAGTTTGTATAAATGCTGTTATCTGATTGGTCAGTAAGACTTGCACCTTGTATTTTTAGCAAATCTCGGTTATCGCTCTTGACTTTCTTATTTGGAAATCGTTCAGACTTGTATAACAATAAGCATATTCATTTTCGACAAAAAATTCTTTTATTCTTCAGAGTTCAGCATTAATTGCAAAGTTTTAATGCGATAAAAAATCGTGTGATTAAAACCTTCAAGTGCATGCATCGAGTTTTTATGCTTCGTATACTCCGCGTAGTTGTAAAGGCCTTCAAGCTATGTCTTGCCTTGGCGAGCTAGGATGAGATAGGGGACAAGGCTATCGTTCATCTTGCGTTCACTGTTCACTTTGCGTTCGAGCTCCGTTCGCTTTCTGCATTCGCTCACCGTTCGCAATTCACACATCGTTCACCAAATTGCGTTCAGCGTTCACACATCGTTCACTCAACGTTCGTCCAGTGTTCACTCACCGTTCAAATGAAAAAGTAGAAAGATTTAAGGACTATATTTTTGATCTCTGTCATATCAAAATGTTGATCTTCTATCAAAATATATGTGAAGTCAAAAAAATTTTACCTGGTGATTTTGTCATGTGATAATGCTTATGTTTTATCAAAATATATCTTAAGTGTGAAAAAGATGCATTTGTCATTTAAGTCTAGCTGTAATTAATATTCACTTCTTCTTAAAAGCGTTTACAATTTGCAATGTAATTTATGTCTGGAAAAACAATTCGTTCTGGTTTAATTTCTGAGGAACACCCACCTAGGGATTAGTTCATGGTTTTATTATCACAATAATAATGATTATCTGAACACTGCTGAATGGAAATAAAAAAAACATATTGAAAACCAATAATTTACATGAAGAGAAATTATAATCCGACTTTTAAAAACTTTCAATCATGATTTCTCTGTTTGTTATCAATACAGATTTATTTCATCCAAGCAATGAAAAATTACGCCTCAATTCTCTGTACAAATTAACACAACTGGAAATAGATCGGTCGCTCCTGCCGCTGATAATGAACTTTTTCTGATTTGCAACGAATATATCTTTAAGTAAATATTTTTGGTTATGTATATCGCTATATTTACTTTGCTTTGTTTTAAGTGGCTTAGCTTAGCGATTACACCTTTTTATCTTTAGTAGCTCATATTCAAGTAGGTAAGTCAATTTTTTTTAAATTTGTTGACATGTGTTAATTCTGTGAATAACATTTTCTTATAGTGGGTGCCTGTTTCCTAAGAAGCACAGAAGACGTATGTGGTCCACGTGGACAATGTGAAGTTATTTCTACCGTTTTTGAATTCCCCACCTGCGTCTGTGAAGAGGGCTTTTTTGGAATAAGATGCAACGGTAAATATATTTTGAAACCAAGCATGTTGAAAATGAATGTACTGATTCAAATTTTGACATTATTTTGATAATCAAATTGGATGTCATATCGGTAAATGTTTGACAATTGGGTACTCGGACGTTTTTCCAATCGAGTATACGGGTACCCGATAAAATAAAATAAAGTAAAAAGATGTGTGTTTTTTAGCCTCATTAAGCTCTTTCAAACCATAAAGTTGATAATATCACGTTAATCAGTGTATGTATAATCATTGAGACCAAAGGAAATAATTTTATTAATTACAAATTCACAAAAGACATACAATCAATGCATCAAAAATTGCTGATAAATTCTTTTTAAGGATCTATTTCACAATCTCTTGCGCAGATTTGATGATTAGACTGGCAAAAAAGAAGGAACGGACATTGTTTGGGTGTCTAGTCTAATATTCTGATATTATTTCATATGTTGATTATTCTGATATTATTTCATATGTTGGTTATTCTGATGTTATTTAATTTGTTGGTTATTCTGATAATAATTCATATGTTGGTTGTTACATCCCTTTTACTCCCATATACACTTAATGTACAAGTTTTTCAAAGTTATTTGTTAATTGTTATGTTTAGTGCACAAGCCTTTTACAACAGCTGGGAATAATTAAAAAAGGCTGCTCACAACAGAGTGCGATTGAAGACTGTTGCCGGGGCCCTATGTTTCACAGGAAAGCAAATGGAACCATGATTACGAGCCCTGTAGCAATGGTTTTCATAAAAAGCTGACAAGCTTAAAATTAGTGGGATGAGGGCAACTTTACAAAATCATCTGACAAACCAAAAAATAAAAACCCATCTAATTCTCTAAATCCTGCAATGTCTGAGTGCTCCACTTAACAATAACAAGAAGCAAGGGGGGGGGGAGGGGGTTCCAGAATCTTAAGGTAAATATACTTTAGCAAAATACTTATGCTTGAAAACGTGCCCTACCCACCCCTGTCCTACTGATCTTGTGTGTCAATGCATTGTTTTATTGACGTTGTAAAATTCGTATAGCAAGGATATCTCATTAGTATTCGTTACCTCCAAATCAATCAGTAATCTACAAGGATTTGGCGAGTGGATTTTATTATTTTTATTATTATTATTATCATTATCATCAATTATTATTTATTTTTGTAGGTCGGTTAAATTTTATTTACTGATATATTATGATAAATTCTAATTTCGTTTCTTAAGGAGGTTGGTTCCTTTCATCAAAAGTATTGAGGATTTTTTTGTCAAGTATATTTTTAGAATCTTCGTACAGAGCTTAATAAAAAATCAAAACAAAAACTAGGGGTCAGTGCCTTTCTTTTATCACTGCAGAGCAATTAAATTAACCTTTTTTGCACTTAAATTACAACTAACACATTTTAAAAGTTTTCCTTTAACATTTTCTATCCTAATGAATTATATGATCAAACACAGTCATTTTTACCTTAAATAGTCACATTGAAAATTGTGACAACAAAAATAGTTTTAAATTACTTTGCATAATCAAGAATTTGGCTTTTTGCGCTCAAAATTTCTTTTTTCCTCGTGTTAAGCAAGCAATAAAATCGTTTATAAATAATAAAATTTTACTGAAATTAAACAGAATGGTTAAAATTGTCTTATACATTCAGTGGGGGTCAGTGATGTTAATTTTTAGACATTACAAAAAGTGTTAATTTTAAAATTATTTTGTCCAATTTGTTTTCAAGGACTTTCACGATATATTTGAAATATTTGCCAAAAGATGATAATAGAATGCATAACAATAAATTTAATATATAATTTTGGACCAGCAAAGAACAATTTACTCATCAAATTACTCTGTGTGTAGGCTGCATGTAAAAATAAGAATTTTATCAAATACTGAATAGGTTCTTTGAAAGAGGAGAAAATGATCTTTTTCTTCTAAAAGACCTTCCGTCATAAAATACAGTTCATCACTAAATGTTTTCGGTATATGGAATTCAATCATGAGGTTTAAATTGAACATAGTTTAATTAGCATTATAGAATCTTTTCTTGCAAACTAATACACTATGTATATATTTAAAAATGACCTTTCTCTTCTTAAAGACTTTCCGCCAAAAAATATAGTTCCTCAGTAAATGTTTTCGGTATGGAATTCAATCATGAGGTTTTAATTGAATATAGTCAATTAGCATCATTGAATCTAAATTTCTTGCAAACTAAAACATTATATAGATTTTTTTTCTTTTAATTTAACATGTTTATGTCAACACAAAATATGCTGAACAGCTGAGGTGCGAACCTCGTTAAATGCATTTGCTTAATAATATTAGGTAAAAAACGAATGCACTTATGGGCCCCGGTAAAATTGAAAAAATAAACAATCAAATTAGGCAATTTTTTCATCCCAAGTCATTAATTGATATCTAAACCGTACGATCCAACATATTTTACCGCTGAAATTCACGAATATACAAAAAAACAAAACCATAGAATGCGACAGGGGTCAGCCGACATTTGTAATTTTCTATAGTAAATCGAGAACGGTCATTCATTTCAAAGCTTTTGTTTACTATGAGCCTAATTTATACAAACTTGTGCGAATGAGAAAAGAGCATAATACATTTATTAAACTTGTGTGAAAGTAGGAAATTTGTACACGATTAGGATGGTACTTAAAATATAAAAAATATACAAAAAGTACAATGTTTTCCTATAGCAAGTGAGAGGTATTTACCTGTATGACCCAATGTTGAACCCAAGTGTGGAATATATTATTTAAAATTCTTATAGTCAGGTGAGTTCTACCCAAGGTAAACATTCCTCAAAGGTGCTCACTGTAAAACATCGGCAGGTTTTGTATTATTTAGTCAAAGTCGCGCCGCTTAGAAATATTTGTATGTATTTATTTTACACGGGAGGGTAAAGAGAGTTTAGTGCCATTAATAGAAGTGTCAAACATTTTTAACATTAATGCAAGACAATGAAACAGATATTGAAAGCCACCGTAACACTCCCTTTAGATTTCAAATTCAATGAAACTTTTATTGTATATATTTTTTCAAATGCAAGAGTACCAATATCTTAGTTTGATTATTATGGCTACAACTTCATTCATTTTTTTTAAAAAAACAGATTTAAAACAAAAAGTTACATTCCACAAACGCGCCCGACTATGATCCACCATCAGATTGTTCAAGTGTCGATTTAAATATCTTTTCGCCTTGATTTACATAAACGAAACTAAAAGAAGGTTCGGTACAACTTTTCCGGATTTAGGGTATCTATAGGCATTTAAAAATATTCAATTGTTTCAAATCCATGCTGATTTAGGTGATGCTTAACGTGCTTTTTCATTAGAAATACCCACTAGTATCTCTTTCCAAAAGAGAACGGTTTGGTAATATATTCTTAAGTAAAATGGCACATAAAAAGGGTCCATTTAGCATTGCTTAAGTGCACTTGTCCTTTAATAAAAAAAAAGAGAAATAATCTGTACTCGTAATACAATCTTAATAACAAACGAAATACATATCTTAAAGTTGTATCAAAAGCCAATTCAGAAAAAAGGATTTCAACGAGACCATGTTCAGATTTTAGCATAAAAAGAAGTTAAGCATACACAATACAAAATCAAAATTGTTAACGCCAAGATAAATGATATTAAAATGTAAAAATAATGAGCATCAAGTAGTCATGTAAGTAGTTGTAAAGGCCTTCTAGCTATGTCTGGAAATAAGAATATATATTTTGTTGTGCCTTTCCCTCTTTAGTATATGTACATTTTATACATGTACCTACATACATCATGCTTGGTATACAGTTATTCAGTGACTGAAGGTAAGAATTTTAAAAAAGGCATTCTAAGAAGGATATAGGCTTATTTTAAGTAATAATTTTTTTGTATTCCAAGATCTCTGTGATAGGGACAGTGACTGCAATGGAGGAACATGTGTTGAAAAGGGGGGACAGAAAGTGTGTGACTGTCCACCAGGTGCTGAGGGTAGCCAATGTCAAGGTAAGGTCAAATTATACGCCAGGTGTCCTGCATTAAATATTGTACAGAAATAAAGGTGTAATTAACACACCTACATACACAGACGGACAGACAGGTAGACAGAATGATACCAGTTTTATTTTTCGAAAATATATGTAATACTATTGCCCCCCCCCCACCCCACCCCCAAAAAAATGAGAAAACCCCAATAATTTTATTATTATCTGCCTATGGATTTTTCAATTCCATAATACAAGATACAATTAGATGATTGTTTTCTTAAATATTTTTTAGTAACAACAACTACTCCTACATCAATGACGACCACAAGGAGAAACCGACTAGGGGGCGTGGTTTTAGCTGTTGGGGGAGGTATCGGATTACTAGCACTCCTAGGAGCTGCAGCTGCAACCTCAGCTGTATCCGGATAGCAAAATAATCGTCATTGACACAGCTGTATTCAGACAGCAGAAACCATCTTAGAGGAATGAGTTTAATCTACATGTTAGAATTTCGAAAATAATAAAATAAAAGTTTTAAAAAAACCATCGTCAGTGACTCAGCTGTATCCGGAAAGCAAGAACCATCATCGAGAACGTGTTTAGTCTACATGTTAGAATTTTGAAATAATAAGAAAATAAGGTTTCCTTTCTCTTTTATACTAAATAAGAAGGGCAGGGAGCTGGGCAAATTTTGAATAAATATGTCAATGATGATTCTGAAAATAATTAATCTGTACTCTCAATGGATAGAAAATCGTTACTTGAATTATGACTTCGTCGGTATTGACAGTGTAACGTTTTTCCGATACGGTCTAAGGGGAATAACTCTCAGTGTTTTCCATTTCTTCCAATGAATATTCTTGAAATGATACACAAGTAATCAAGTTTACGGTTTATTCACATTTTAAAATCCACAATAACATAAACACAGTAAGTATAAAAATCCAAAATAAAAATTGTCCGAAGTGATCGTAATGAATATGAAAAACTGACTGACTCACTGTCTAAAATCGCTCCTATATTTATACATAAAACCCATTGCTCACGAGGAGCAATGCAATGTAAACAAAAACCCATTGCTCGCGAGGAGCAATGTTATATAAACAAATCATCGTTACATAATAATTCGCTACAACTCCCCCCCCACTTAAGTTTTTGACTCCGTTCAAAATGATTATAAATAGACAATTAAAAATTAATTTCTTGAAGTTAAACATGATGGTAAAATTTAAAGTAAATACATAAACAATTAAACGTTATCTATATAAACAATTATTTTCTCCAAATCAGTAAATTTTTACTACACAGTCCATAATAAAATCATTTTGTTGAAACAGTAAACATATTAACTTACACATAGCAAACTTAGTCTACGTAAACAATAAATCACCTTCGGACAAACAAAGCACAAAAAAATATTTACAAACATGACATTAAAACATAATAAAAATCAAAGATATAAATAATTAAAAATTATATACATAAAAGCTTGTTAATAGATCACAAGTCTTTTGTTAGAGTTCACAACTTTTCAGTATAGCCTTTAGTTTGTTACACGGTTCACAAGGACAAATCTCCCTTTACTATCCGCACACGGGCACTCGGCGCTAGGTGTCGCGGAACCTCATCCAGAATCTCCTCGGCAAGATCACGAAAGTCTACTTCCTCTGGATTTACGTTCTCTGAGTAGATAATTTGCGATTCGCGATTAATCTCCTCGGAACCGTCAGGATTAGTCCGAATCGTCTTCTTCATCACAAGGCATATGGTTGACATCTCGACACTTACGCGATTGTTGTTATCGTCCATGTCATACATATCACTGTCCTCTGATGACGAGTTCGCGGCTTCGCTCACGTCTGGTGACTCGAGAGATTCTTCTGTTGGTCGCGCACACGTTTCTTCCTCTTCTATGTCGCCCAGAATTTCACTAATAAAAGTGTCATTTATTTCCGGCAAGTCTTCCGAATTCACTGAGATTATGTGCAAGTCCTGTGCAAGTCCTGATAAGAGTCTGTAACGAGTGGCTGCACCGTCTCATGGTAATGCATCTCTTCCTCGTCGGAGGAAATATCCTCATAAAAGTCACTCATAACGTACACCGGTTTTCGGGTCTCCATGAAACTGTGTCGTTGAATCTTCTTCCGCGGGGTATTTAAGGCCTCATTGACGAAGTCCTGGTCTAACTTATGGACGTTTTTAAGATTTGATTTTCTAGTAAAGAGTTTTTGGCAATATTCACATTCAATAACATTCAAATCACTTCTATGTTGTTCGCGTTGATGCTGGTACAAGTTACTATTTGTCGAAAACACACACCCACAATATTCACAAATCATCTGGAGAATGGTCAGTCTGGTACGGAAGTGGTCTTTTTATAACTCTCCCAAGTCGTGTTGTTCTAATGACGGCGTCTGATTGGCTGTCGGCATGTGACTGTTCCGCTGTGACAGTCTCGGGTCGCGGCTCTGGCGGTAACTTCAATCGTTTGGTCATCGGTCTCTCTCTCGCAGCTGGCACGCGACGTCGCGGGGCACCTGCTGTCTCGCCAGTTGTATATTCGGATTCAGGAGCTGGGCGCGAATGTTTATTCCCTCTGTATGGTTTGATATTGTCGGCGTGCACTATCACAGGCTTTGAGTTTTTGGAATGTTGAATTTGGTAAAGCGTATCGCTCAGTCTTTTCACAATAAACAATGGCCCTGTCCAGTTCCTTGCTAGTTTTGCTTTCGTCCCTGTAATAATTTGGCGTTGATTTCGCCTCACTTTATCTCCAATGTCATAATTCACATTACGAACATTTCTGTCATAATAATGTTTTTGTCTTTGCGATAATTTTCCTGTAACTTCTCTCGCAAGATTGTGCACAAAATATAGTTCACTTTCCAAGTTTCTCACATATTCCGAATCATTTTTCCGAACTGGTTCTTCTTCGGTTAATTCCGTAGTCATAACATCTAAGGGTAGTGAGGGCTCTGTACCGAACATCATTCTATACGGAGATATAGTCGTTGTTTCATGGGGTGTACTATTATAGGCCAGAACGATCCCGTCTATGTACTTGTCCCAGTCTGTCTGATGAGCTGAAATGTATTTCGATAACATTTCCTTTATAGTTCGGTTTAATCGCTCTACCATCCCGTCGGACTGCGGATGGTAAGCAGTTGTCCGTGTTTTGTTGATCTGAAGGAATCTGCACATTTCTTGAAATAGTTGACTTTCAAACTGTCTACCTTGATCGGAATGTATTTCTAACGGACATCCGTATCGTTTAATCCAACCTTTGAATAATGTTTCTGCCACAGTTTCAGCTTCCATATCACGTAAGGGATAAATTTCACAAAATTTAGTAAAATAATCAGCGACGACTAATATGTACAAGTATCCATTTTCTGACTTCGGAAATGGTCCTGCAATATCTGCGGCAATTCTCTGGAACCTGTCACCACTTAAATACGTCTTCATGTAAGATCGCTTCTTCCTTGTTGGATTTTTCCTTTCTTCACAAATATCGCATGACGATACATAACCTTGAGCATATCGCTTCAGCTGCGGCCAGTAGTACTGACTATTCATTAACTTTGAAACAGTCCTCCTAATTCCCATGTGTCCGGCAGTTTTTGAATCATGTAAATACCACATTACACTGTCACGTAAAGTCCTGGGAATACATATTTTAAGTGTTTCACTGTCTTTTTCTATCCACCGGTAACATAGTAAACCACGATCAACTGTTAACATTTCCCACCTAGAATACCAGAATTTGAACTCAAAACTGGTATGAGAAATAGAACTTATCGCAGGTTTCACAGAATCCAATTTTTCCTTTAAGCGCAGTAGTTCAGACATCTCATGATCTTCGTGTTGGTGCTTACGTATATTTTCAACTGTAAGAGACTCTGTTGGTTGTTTCCGTTGCCTCGCTGGAGGGGGTCTGTTTTTGACTTTCTTACGCTTAGCCGTTTTACTGTTTTCATTTGTTGATTCTACTTGACACGCATCCGGATTCGGATAACTTCCGGGATATAACAAACATCCGATATCTAAAACTTCTGTGTTCTGTTTGTAGCAATCCGGGGATTCACATAGTTTTCTTAATTCGTCGACATGAGTGAAAGTTTCCTCTGTCGATTCTTCGTGAACGTCGCGCTTGCATTGTTTACAGATTAAACTGTCACTGATTCTGGATAGTGCGTCAGCATTCCCATGTCGTTTGCCTGGTCTATGCACAATGCGAAATACGTATGGTCCCAGTTGTTGAAGCCATCTCGCTACTTGTCCATCTGGCTCCCGAAATTTGTGCAGCCAAACTAATGATCCGTGGTCAGTTCTAAGAATGAACTCCCTCCCGAGCAAATAATGTTTGAAATGCTTTATAAAATACACAAGCGCTAGCATTTCTTTCCTAGTAACGCAGTAATTTCTCTCTGCACTATTCAAAGTTCGGCTAGCATATTCAATAACTATTTCCTTGTCATCTTGAATTTGTGACAGAACAGCTCCAATAGCGTTGTTGCTAGCATCAGTGTCTAGAATAAATACACCTCCATCCGTATCTGGATATCCTAGTATGGGAGCAGTCACTAGTTTTGATTTCAGCATTTGAAATGCATTTTCACATTCATTCGTCCATTCCCATTTAGAATTTTTACTTGTAAGTGCATGTAAACATTTTGCTATTTCGGCAAAGTTTTTGATGAATTTCCTGTAATAAGACACAAGTCCTAAGAAACTCCTTAATTCAGATACATTCTCTGGTGATTTCCATTCCTCGACAGCTCTAGTTTTCGCCGGGTCAGTTTTAACACCGTTTTCTGACACAATATGTCCGAGGAATATCACTTCCTTTTGAAAGAATTTTGCACTTTTTCGCTTTAAGCTTCAAGTTTGCTTGCCGTAGTCGATCGAGCACTTGTCGTAAGTTTTTCAGATGATCTGAGAAATCTCGACCAGTCACAATTATATCGTCCAAGTAAAGTACTGTTATATGCCACTGTAGTCCGTGTAATGCTCTCTCAATAACACGCTGAAAAGTGGCAGGCGCGTTACATAGTCCAAAAGGTATAACTCGGTACTGGTACAATCCTCCACGTGGTGTTGCAAAAGCAGTCTTTTCCTTGTCACTCTCCGACATTGGAATCTGATGATATGCCATGTTTAAATCCAATGAAGTAAACCATTTAGATCCCGCCAATGAATCTAAATTATCGGCAATCCTTGGAATGGGATAAGCATCCTTAATTGTTTGAGCATTGAGTTTCCTATAGTCTACGCACACTCTCCAGCTTTTGTCCTTTTTCTGCACCAGTACAAGGGGTGATGACCAAGGGCTAATAGACTCCTCTATAAGTCCATGCTTCTCTAAATTCCGAACCTCCGTGTCCAGTATTTCCCTTTAAAATATAGGGACTCGCCTTGGTGGTTCCTTAAACGGCGATTCATATTTCAATTTAATGCAATGCTCTCCAAAATTAGCACGCTCCATGGGTTGGTTCGGGTCAGCAAATGCTCCTTTGAATTCCATTAAAAATTCCTTGAAAGTAATACT